ATAGGAAAAAGATAACAAATTAGCGTCGCCGCTACGCTTTTCGCGTGGCAGAAAGATAATAAATATCCATCATTTTACACACACGAAATAATTTTTTAACACACCGTCCGTAAGAAAGTAACGATCCCTAGCTACTATGTAATATATATATATATGTATGTATATATTATGTACCTAGTAGAAAATATTATTATGCCTATTATATTATTGTGTGTCCGTCGCGCTGAATCCAAATGCAGACGTGAAAATTTCTCTTTCTCTGATTCGTGTGTATATATATATATTATGTATACAGAACAACACTTGTGATCATATTGTGTGCATATTATATATTATTATCGTGTCCGGTCGGTATCGCAATTCAATGTTCGCCGACGGGTTTCCCGAACCCGGACCGCCTACACTAGGTACTATAAATTTGCCTAGTTCTTAAAACAAGACATCGTCGTTTATGCGATTTATACATAATATTATGAACACCTAATATAGGTATTCTAACACTACGTTTACGTGGCGAGTTTATTTATAATAATATTATATCGTTCGGCTGGAACTTATACGATTATGAACATGAATAATACATTTACCATAGTGTTTTGTAGACATTTTGTTAGTTTTAACTGTTAGCTTTTAACGTTAATGACGTAGTTGAACACAATTTATGACAATATATATATCGCAGAAAATTGAAATTTCATTAAAAAATTATAATAATCTAACCTACAGACATAGATGATGTTTTTAGAAGTTAAAGTTTAATGTTAGGTAGATTTACTGTAATATTAAAGCTAACAGCAAAAAATTGGTTATGTTGATCACAAATTTACCGTKTTGAGCGTAAGAGCAGGCCAATAAAAAATGTAGAGCGTTCACATACATATTATAAATTTATAAGAACTATCAGTTAGTAAATCGGCTAAAAAATTATGACCACTATTCTTTGATCACCTAAATATTAGGTCATTGGCCCAAATAAACTAAGCCCCCTTTATAAAAAAAGTATTTCTATAATATATCGACTATTGTGGAATAGATCGGTGATCATCGTAAGTGTTAGCAATAATCATAACTATACCGCTGTGAATAAAATACAATATTTTACTGCGTTTGGCCCGAAAACTCACTTGAGGATGTCATATTTTCCAGTCGATCCGCTTCGTTTCGACAATTGTTTTAGTTTATTAATATTATTAAAGTTGCCTTACATAACAAAAATAATGAATTCACGGCTTCTAATCATATAAATAATATTAGATAATTTTTAGAACAGAAATAAATAATAGGACATCACCAATGTTATGCTTATAAACAAAATTCCACATGCATTGCCCCGTGAGAAAATTTTGCATCTAAAAACCTACCTATCTAATAAGGAATCATCTATGGTATTTCTCAATAAATTTGTCCACTATAAATCATCGTCGTGACGTCGTATCAGACTGTCTGGAACTACAATTTTCTGTAAATTATTTATACAAAATCTTATAATAGACGGATTAATGCAAATTGTGATTATGATTATGTAGTCTATATTATTATCATCAGCTGCTGTACTGAGCTGCAGGTGAGTACCTACTAATAACGTATATAATATTTTTTTACACCTCGCACAGTTCCGACGATCGAGACCCGTGAMCGATCTTGCCCGGGGGAACGCGCGAGATTAGCCTTCAAAGCACTTTCCCTGACATTGATTCGAGCGCGTGTTACTTTTAAGAAAATTCGAAACCACGCGATCAAATCAAATAACACATTATCAGAGCGTCCTATCCAAAAAGAACGAAAGTAACCGATTACCGCGTGGGTGGTAGGTACACGGGAATTTTCGCTTTTAGATCTATTCCATCTATTTTATATAATAATATGATATGCTTATCACGCCCCCGAAATTACCGCATTACTATATACACGTTGTGTTTTTTCACGTCTTCGTCGACCAAAACTAACACCGTTCTCCACCGTCGCGAATCGCGGTTTATGACCAATCGAAACACCTCACGGTGGTCTTCTGCAGCTGTATTGTTTTAATGACAGTTATAGGTATAGTTTCTCCGAAAATTTATCATCTAAACGCTTATGTCCATAGTCGTTTCTAAACACATTCGCATCAAGATAATAATATCACTCCGTTGATATGTATAGGTACTGCAGTTACTATATGCAGTTTAAATATTGTACCATCAAGTTCATCACAGAGGCAGAACTACGAAATAAAATATGAACACTGTAAAATAATATAGTTGTCAATTTAACTAAAATTTTGTAACCCAATGGCCTTTGTCACCGAGGGTATATTTCGTTTTAAAAAAAAAAAAATAATATTGTAATATGCAAAACAAAACAAATTCAAAGCGGGTCGGTGAATCCGGCATTGAGCGCTCAGTCTCGTTTTGACCGCCTCGGTTGGTATTTAATACATTTGAATAGCTATATATACGTAATATATACACAGCAGTTATAGCGTGGGAATTATTACGATTTGGGTAGGTCATCGTCGTCATTTGCAGGTCGGGCGTGTTATTAGAGGTATGTGGTCTTCTAAAATTTTAATACGATTATTCACCGCATTCTTTTTTTTAAATGGGTCCGAATAAGTCTGCTACGGTGAATAATATTATGTTATATTAAATTCGCCGTAATTTGTAAGTGTGTTTCATTCACCACCACGAAATATGAGTATTTTTGGTCACCACATAATTTGTACGTATTATTTGCAATGGGTTTGGACTACACTACCAGCACACTGATATCACGTTACACTTAAAAGTGATCCAGATGGAAGTAAAGTTCTACGTAAACGATATGTYGCAAAAGTTTGGTATATATTAACTGGTTAAAAAGTTAAAAAATTAATTTTCGAAGTAACTTAATAACTTAACTAGATTAATTTCAATTGCAATAATTCATCATTTTTAAGTCATTAACCTAACATAATATGTAAGTTAAGTTAAAATCATGTTTATACTAATTTATAACTGTAATTAGAATTTAAAAAATATTATCTTGTGTAATCACGCTATAGATAATGTTTTTAAATGAG